TCATGGCTCTGTCACCATTAGGATTTTTATCAAGCTGAACGCTTTTAAGGCTCTCAGTGCCAGTACTCGTTTTGCTTGCATGCATGTAATATTACACAAACCTTTTCCTTTTACTGATATTTAATATCACATTCCCCTGACATATGGAGTGTATGTCCTGCCCAGCCAGCAAGTCCCATTGAATCATGCCATGCCACAGACAGGGGAAGGACTATATTTCTCCATTATTTTCATAGAATCACAGAATGGCAGGGGTTGGAAGGGATCCCTGGAGATCATCCTGTCCAACCCACTGCTAAAGCAGGATCACCCAGAGCAGGTTGTACAGGACATCACCCAGGCAGGTTTTGAATATCTCCAAAGAAGGAGACTCCACAACCCCCCTGGGCAGCCTGTTCCAGTGCTCTGTCACCCTCAAAGTAAAGAAGTTCTTCCTCATGTTCAACTGAAACCTCTCATGCTTCAGTTTGTGCCCATTGCCTCTTGTCCCGTTGCTGGGCACCACTGAGAAGAGTCTGGCTCCGTCCTTGTGACATCCACCCTTAAGATATTTGTATGTGTTGATGAAGTCCCCTCTCAGTCTTCTCTTCTTCAGGCTAAACAAGCCCAACTCTCTCAGCCTTTCCTCGTAGGAGAGATGTTTTCAGGGTTCATTTTAATTGTTATTGGCATTTCCTCAGGATCTGTTTGGACAGATACATACACCGGTTGTCCTATTCTTGTTTGCATTACAGCAGAACAGAAGTCAGAACGTTGTATAACTTTTCTGCTTACAGGTGTACCCGGGCCTCAGTTGCCTGCCTCAGACCTCTACACTCTGTGCTTTCTTCTGGGCATGCTACATGGGCAAAGCAGGTTGCTTCACAGCACTACATACCAACATTTTTCAATGCTCTGCATCTCTCTTGCCTTGTGGAAGGCAGGCTACAGCTGCTGCAGACACACTACATCCACCCTTAACGCTGTTCTTCTCCTTCGGTCCTGTGCTCCTCTGTCACTCTTGGAGGGGGAGGAACATACCAGTACACTAAACATCCCTCTGTCTCATCACATGGATGTCATGACTGGTCCTAGTAGGTATCTTTGGTCCCTAGGCTCCATTTATACAGGTTGCCCAGAGAGGTAGTGGAGGCCCCATCCCTGGAAACATTCAAGACCAGGTTGGACGGGGCTCTGAGCAACCTGATCGAGCTGAAGATATCCCTGCTCATTGCAGGGGGGTTGGGCTAGATGACCTCTAGGGGTCCCTTCCAACCCAAAATATTCTCTGATTCTATGATTTATGCTAGTAAATACAACCGTCTGGCATAACCAGCTCACAAGGGACAAAACAATGGGGCAGTATGGAGAGCTGCTTATGCTCACACCTTGGCTCTCTTCATTTTACCAATGTAGATATAAGCTGAAAGGTTTATGTGGTCTGGTTATTCAAACTAATATTTTCTAAAGTTAGTTTTTCTGATATATTTTAACCTACTTTTCTAAAGATTTCTCCTCTGTGAGGCTCCCTCTACAGTCAGCAGACAAAAAGAAACCTTGCAGGACAAGAGTCATTTAACGGAGCCGTGTCTGAGGAGGTGCTTTTCTCCACTGACTCTAAAGCTCCAGCAATGAGGTCTAATGTCAGGTGAAACAAAATCCAACCCAGATGCCTGAATCTACAGAATAATAATAATTAAAATTTTTTTTTAAAAATCATCTTTGTGCTTTGGCTGGCTGATGGAGGAAGGCCCAGGTCCTAACCTGCAAACACACTCTTCAGTGATTTGTACTTCTGGTTGTACTGACCGCTGCTGAATCACTCACTGCTGCACCTTCTGCTGCTGGGCAGCTAGGACCTATGGTTTGTGCAAACTCCAGAAACGTGATAAAATATTCAGCTTCCCTCAGCCTACTAGACTATCTGTATGTTTGTCTGTCCTTCCCAGGGGAGGTCTGTCTGTATTGTCTACAGCAGCTGCTTCCAGTGGTTCAGACCCCAAAGATCCTCAGTGTCCTTGTCTTTCCTCAGCAAGCCCACAGCTACTTCCCAGTAATTTGAATTGCTCATCAAAAGCTTGCAGGTCAATCTTACCTTGAACAATGGAGCTTGAACAATTTTTGCTTCCCCAAGGAAAAGCTGAGAGAATTATACATTTTGCCTTCTTGTCTTATTTCTTCCTCTCTTCTTCAGATTCTCATAGCAGAAGCTGTGTTTTATCTCTGCCTTTTCTGGGCTTATTAGAGCTTTCAGTTCTATGACTCCTTTGTTAGTTGGAAGGCCCTCTGGCCAAGGTTTATCATAATAATAATGAGATTTTAAATCACACTGCTGTGAACAGCTGAGCTTAGCACCCAGGGAAAGTGACAAAATCCTGTGAAAGTCACTTCTTGTTTCCCTTAATGGATGTTGCATCAGTTGTTGAATGGCATAGCTACAAAGGGAGTTCAGGCTCAATGCACATCCCCACGACACAATCTTCCAGTAAAAAGCTCCATGTGATGAACAGCCATAGGATCATTCCTAGTGAATATAGCCAAGATTTTTCCATAACATAGTTTCTTTAAGCCCTATGATTTAAGAAAAGGCATGTTTGTGTAATTCAAAATTTGATAACTACAAAAGCCCTATTTCATATAATTTATTTACAGATCATAACATTTACGTATTTTACAGACACCTGGAAATTATTGAGATTCTATATATAAACGGAAGAATGTTTCAACATTGGGACCTCTCCCACACATATTTATGCAAAATAAAAGAAGGGATAGTTAAGGGGGTGGGAGGTCCATATAAAAATGTCCAAACCCATCCCAGGGTGTTGCTTTTCCATATTAATTCCCCTGGTAGCCCAAATTCTGAAAAAAAAAAGAAAAATAAATAGATTAAAAGTTTCACTATTTTAAACAGAGGAAGGAAACAGGCTCCTCATTTTGTTTTCTCATTTCTAGATCATATCAAAACACTTATTTTTCTGCCCTTCACACTTCTTTTTCTGGCTGAACTGGAATAAATAAAACTGTTTGCTTACTTGGGAGTTACTGTGGCCTTAAGCTTAGCAGGCAGAAGTAGAAAACCTCATTCATGTGCACCAAAATTGGGAATTGAGTTAAGAAACAGAAAAGTGATTATATTTTGGACATGAATAAAAGCCATATATTTTCAGAGAGAAGATAGAATGTGTGCTGTATGGACACCTTAATTTGCTGTTGTAAAGCATGCCTTCTTCCCTCATGGTCTGTCACAGCTACACACCATTAACACCAGGTGCCCCTGAACTACAATCCCTGAGCTGAGGCCAAGGGCTTTAGGAGTGTCACACATCCGCATTTAATGCCAGCCAGGATGTATACTCAAATGTCTCTTGCCTCTCTAAATAATTAAAATGTCAGAAATCTTCAGGCTTTTTTTTTCCTTCTGGTTTTAGTCTTTCAGTCTGGAAGTGCTCCCAAATATTTATATTTGCTTATTCTATGCCACGAGTATAAGCATCTTCTTCAGCTGTGCAATGTTCTTTCCAACTATTTCTGAAGAGTTTATCATAGAATCATAGAATTATAGAATCATAGAACCATAGGTTGGAAGGGACCTCAAGGATCATCTGGTCCAACCTTTCTAGGTAAGAGCACAGTCTAGACAAGATGGCCCAGCACCCTGTCAAGCTCAGTCTTAAAAGTGTCCAATGTGGTGGAGTCAACCACTTCCCTGGGGAGATTATTCCAATGGCTGACTGTTCTCATGAAAAAATTCCCTCTCGTGTCCAGTTGGAATCTCCCCAAAAGCAACTTGTGTCCATTCCCCCTTGTCCTCTCCATGTGACTCTTTGTAAAAAGGGAGTCTCCACCTTCCTTGTAGCTACCCCTTAGGTACGGGTACGTGGTGACGAGATCCCCTCTGAGCCTCCTTTTCTCTAGGCTGAACAAACCCAGTTGTCTCAGCCTGTCCTCATATGGCAGGCTTCCCAGTCCTTTGATCATCTTGGTGTCCCTTCTCTGAACCCCCTCCAGCCTGTCCACATCTTTTTTGTATAGCGAGAACTAGAATTATATTATATGCTTTCCTCCATTCTTTACTACTTCTTGAAAAATAAAACTCAAATCAGCTCTGTTCACTTACTTACCAGCAGATGGTGGATACAATCAATAGGACCACATCATCAACATGCAAAATACGATATACCACTGTTCATATATTTCACAGCTATAATTATATCACATCAGAACTTTATTTGCAGATCTATCCTTCATGGTTTATTTTTTATATATGCCAGAATATATTTTTAAATCTTGTAGAAGGCAATGGGATGTAAAGATACATTTCAAAATGACTCTGCTCTAGCAGTCTTTACTGTGTTTGAGCCTTTATGTTGTGTCCCACAAGCCCTCTTTATGAGTGCACTGCCACTGAAGCAGAGTGGTCAATGAATTGAAACATTTAAAATGCGATAATGTTCATTAGCAAATTGAGTTCATTCGACAGACTTTCCACAATCTGTTAAGGTGGGCAAAATCCTTCTGCCAAGGACAGTGAAAGATCTGCTTTTGAAGCACCTTAGCATGAACATCCACCTGCACACTGCCTACAAACTAAGAGTAGCAAAGCAAAGGTCTGTGGAAACAAAAAATATATCAGCTCTGACCATTCCTCTCAAGTTGTTCAGGAACAAAGAGCAACACCCTAACTGCATATTACAGTGACCTAAAGGAAATCACAAGTGATTGTGGCCACTACCACCAGCATTGTTACTGAGGACCAAAAGATTATGAGCTGCTACCAATGTCCTAAGTAAATCCTCCTTTGAATTAATACCTCTCACAGCATGCCCCTTACATGCACTAGGAATTATTTTGTTAAAATTTCTTCTCTTCCAGCTCCTTGCACCTAATGGCATAACTGGTACGTAACTGTGACATTGGCTTGTGTTTAATCAGCAGGATCACATGCTCATTTCTTTACTTTCAAAAGTACTTCAAAAGTCACTTCAGAAAGTTTCACTTATTGCTTCTATGCACTCCACATGCAACTATGCACATCATTAATAGATGGGATTTCACCACTTGAAGATCTCTTCGCTCACAGTGTTCTGGGAGTATTTGTGTGGGTCATAGCTTGTGTTACATGTTTTGGAAATCTTGTCACCAGAAGGAGAACATTTATCAAAGCAGAAAAGGAGATGCATGCCATGTCTATCAAAATTTTCTAAATATGTATTAAAGGTACTCATAATACATCAATTTGATTTGTACATTAATAAAATTAATATATGACTATGGTATTGTATACCATATTATGACATTATATTACATAAAATACATAACATTATGTATGTTCCAATAATTTCAGTTTGCATTCTAGACACATACTAGTTTCAGAACAGGTAAAAATATTGTGCATTATCTGTTTTTGCACAATTTTCTGTTATTCTAAATGAAAGCAAGTGTCAAAAAATAACCAAGGTCCTTTAGTTCCTTGACTTTGGGTAGTTAAGATGTGTACAAAGAACTTGAACATTTTACTTTATTAATTACTACTATTCATTCTGCATTAAAGATTATGGACCAGCTAGCTAGTGTTAGACTACTTGCTGTCTGAATTTATTCTGTGATGTGTTAAATCATCATATCTCCTTTTCTGGCATAGGAACTAATAAGTGCTTCTGCTATTTTTGAACTGGATATTTCAAAATGTGAGTACTTCCAAATGATCACATCATACCCTGCCCAACAGTTGTTCCCAAATTAAGAATCCTCAAGCCAATAGAAATGTGGGGTCAAATTCATACTTGCTGTAGCCAAATCCTGCTTCCTTGCAAGCTTGTGGTGCAATAGTGTGACACAGTTTTCTGCTGATTAACCCTTTAAAAACATATGAGACCTATTATTACTTACCCTCTCTTTGTTCCAGTTAGCCAGGCCTACAGACTCACCCTTCTGACTGCATGTTAACTTCACACAGAAAAGATTTTATCTTGTGTGACTTCAGACGCTTACAGTGCAGATGTCTATGAACTAGTCACTTTACGCTCTCTTTATAGCCAATGAATTGTGCAATTTACCTAATTCTAAAAAAGACATCTAAAGCAGGTCTAATGAATCATGTCCTAAAAGTACCTGTTGACTACATTGACTGCGAAGACAGCCAAGGCACAACTGCTTAAGATCTTCAGCTTTGTGAATGGCTGAAGTCAGGCAAAATGAATTCACCATGTTAGTAGACACATATTGCAGATGTGTAAAATTAGAAGTGAATCCCAGGCAAGATACGAGAGATCTTCTGTGTATTTATTACCTAGTATCATATATATACTATATAGTGCCATAGACCTGCCAGGTCTTCCACACTCTGTCTGAGACTCTTTCAGCTTGCTCCTGGCTGAAAGCCCACCAGTGCAGTATCTGTACCCCAAGCAGTGCCCAGACACTGCTGTAGCCTCTCTCCAGGGCTGGCTGCCTGTGTGCCCAACACAGCCATTGCAGTGATTCAATCTTCACCAAAAGGGTTGTCAAGCATTGGAATGGGCTGCCCAGGAAAGTGGTTGAGTCCTCATCCCTGGAGGTGTTTAAAAGACTGGTAGACATGGCACTTGGGGACATGGTTTCATGGTGGAATGGCAGTGGTAGGTTTACGGTTGGACTCAACAATCTTAAAGGTCTTTTCCAACCTAAATGATTTCTAACCTATGATTCTATAATATTCTGTTGTCTGCAAAAGCCACCGTGCTGGCCACAGCCAGGGAGATTGACCCCAGATCGTTGCATGTCCATGGCAGCCCTGTTCAGCAACACTTCCACTCTCATATCCTGACTCCAGCTTCCACTCTCCCATTTGTGACCAGGGGACTCAGAGCCCCAACAGCACATGAATTCTGATGCTGCAATCACGGGGTTAAATTAATTTTGAATGCCAGCTAGAGTTTGGTTAAACATAGAAGTATGCTATATATAAAGCTAGTTTTATATATACTACATATAAATAGCTAGTTTTCAGCAAATTGTGAAATCTGATTCTTAAATAGGTGCTGATTGTCTTACGGGGGTGTATTTGTTCTTAACTGGAAATTTTGATGTTAAATACCATGGACAGTATAAAAAATATGTTGTGCTGTGGATGGAAGGTTTACCATGCCATAACATAGGGTTCATTGCCATGCTGTCTACAGAGGTCTCAGTCCTGTTCTTGACGTATCTGACCTTGGAAAAGTATTTAGTGATTGTCTTTCCCTTCAGTAATATCCATCCTGGAAAGCAGCAGACAGTCATGTCTTCTTATATCCATATGGATTGCTGGGTTTGTCATAGCAATAATCCCATTCTAGGATGAGGACTTTTTTAGAAATGATTATGGGAAAAACTGTGTTTGTTTCCCATTGAATTCTGATCAAAGAGAAGAAATTGGAGGCAATGGGTATTCCCTTGGTATTTTTCTTGGTAAGTTTAATTTTCAGTATGCTATACTTACTGTTTAATACTATTTTACTAGAAAAACCGGCAGGCAGTCTACAGAACATTCACTGATAGATGCACTGTTAATGTTCGTGTTGTAATGCTTCCCAAAGGCCTGCAAAAGGAGCAGAGCCTCATGTGCCGTGTGCTGGCTGCACATTTAAAGGGTCTGTGTCACCCGCAGAGTTTATCACCTAATTTTAACAAAACACAAGCGAGTGTAACGAAGAAGAGGAGAAGACATAGAAGAAAATAGCAATTTGAATAACAATGAGGTAATGAATTACTTTGTGATACTGTGTGTACAAGCCAATGGTTTGAAACCTTTTCATTTTTATAAATCAGTAAAACCAGCAACCTTCAACTGCTACTCAGTATAGTTTTCACTGGATTGCAGAAAATGGTGATAACATAAATAATACGGGATGAAACTTTAAAGGTGTAGCTTTATGTGCATTGCACTGGCAGGGAATAATGATTAAACATGTATATATGTAAAATAAACTACAAATGAACAGGATAACCCCCCAGAAACTTCAGCCTGAAATATGTATGAGCTGGTCGTGCTCATCCTCACTCACAGCAAAGACTGAGAATTATTCAAACTGCTACCAAACGATTTTCTCCCTGGCCTGCATTTGCAGAGCCATAGGGGTTATTTTGCCAGTACATATGCATTTAACAGCTACTCCTCATCTTATCTCTTGATATCAAAAAGATGAAAAAGCTACATATCAAAAGAGAAAACTAGTGGGTTTAGAATTGTACTGAGTAGAAAGCAAAAAAGGCAACACACATGTCAAATCAGATTCATGTAGTGATTTTTCATCAATAAAATTATTATGTTACGCATTCCAATTCTTTTAGCTTGTTTCAATCCCTATTTCTAAGCAAGAGCCTGCTTTCAGGTGCTGGGATCTTGACATAAATGGCTCTTTCAATGGCTCTCAGCTACTTATCGGAATACCCCAGTCCACAGAGCTGCCGTCTGATGAACCACTAAAAGCCTTGCTCTGCGACACAGTGCAGTGCCACCAAAATCCATGTTGCACAGCTTGCTCTGCACATGTTCTCCCATCAGTAATTTGGGATGGATATTTATATGGAAGTGAGGAAGCCAGTCTGAAATGAACGTGTGCCTTGGATCGGTTTGTCACTTTGCTGGGGAATATGTTGTTCTTGCCATATATTACGTGAGTGTCCTGCAGGTGGTTTCTGTTTCGGATTTACTGCAGCATTTCTAGTCAGGAGACCAGATCTCTGTGGAATCGTGAGCCCACCCATACTGTGCGTTAACTGTGTTTCTATAGTAACTTCTTACAACTTATTCGCATCTCTCTGTGTAACAGATGGGAACACGTGGTTATGTGAGCAGGCTGTGTGACTCCAGACAATATTGAGGAGCTGTTTCTAACATAAAATGGGTACCAACGTACTACAGATACGCTCATGTAAAAATTGTAACAAAATAATGGAAGAGAACGAAAACAGAGAAGTGGTCGGCAGAAAGGGAAGAGAGGAAAGAGAGGAAACAAGATGCCATTTGTTTCGAATCTTGTTTCCCCACAGGTGTGAACCTGCCAGCCTCCATCACCACAATGTTCTCATACATCAGCATGCTTCGCTCTGTTCAGAAAACTGCCCTTCAGGCATCAGAAGTAAGGAGTCACGTTCGCAGGGATGCTGCTGCTGCCAATCGATATTTTTTTTAATAGTATTCACCGATGCCATCTGCTGGATTCCTGTCTTTGTCATTGCAATCTTCTCCTTATTCCAGGTGGAAATTCCAGGTAATGCTGTGTGTGATTTCTTTTGTTAAAGATTCATTTTAAACCAAAGCAATTCTGCCAGAGTAGTTCTAGTTAACCATGAGTGAAGAGTCAGTATTTCCCAACATACTTTACTTTTTCTGTGTTCAGAAACTGAGCTTTAAAGTACATACATAACATCTTCAATCCACATATGTAGGTGAGAACCAGAACAAGCTACCCAGTGAAGAGGTTCTCCTCTGCTACAGCTGCCAAATCCCATGGTAATATGTATGAATAAGTCCATTAGTTTGATCATTGGGGAAACAAAACTATAACAGCAGGGTCTTTAAGCAATGCAGACACCACATTTATAAGTGCAGACAATGATTTCCAGGGGGTCCTGAGGAGGCTACAGGCCCTCCCTGCTCTCGCAGTTGCTAACAGATAACATGGTAATACAGGCATCCTGCTCTCCCATCATAATTCTAGAAAACTGATGCCTCTTGTTCACAGAAAATCGGGTAAATAATTCTCCATAATATGAAAGATGTTAAAGAAACGTAGCAAATTGTCAATGATTTTATCATAAAACCTATTTAGCCTCATTGGGAGCACTGAATTCCATTCGTGTAACCAGGAGAAAAGTGATTACATGTGGGTTGTTAAAAATAAAACACAGCCATCATGAGGGTGTTCAGAAGATGTATGACTGTGGCTGGCATGGGACTCACGATGGTGAGGCTCTACACAGCTCAGCTCATGGTCCTCTGAGCAAGTCACTTCACCCCTCTGCACTCCAGGTTCCCCTCTGTAAAATAATAACTTTTGTAAGGCATTTTGAAACCTACTGATGAAAACTGCCACGTAAAAATAGGTATGGGATTTGGATTTATATTAAATACAATCCTAAAGAGAGATGGACTTCAGCTCATGTTTAGTGCTTTTATTAAATTCCAGTAGATAGACAGAAAGACACTCTGGTGAAAAGCTCTTTCCCCCCCCCCCCCCGCCTTCTCATGAAAACCCTTGGTGAACTCAATGAAAACCACAATATGCAGTCTTGAATCCAAACCCCTTTCTTGTAAAATAATAGTACGGTAGCATTCCACAAAAAATGATATAAAGTGACATAAACTAAAATAAAGGACATAAAGTAAAAATGACATAAAGACATATTTTTGTCTTTAGCATCCCTACAACAGAGCATATGAAGTATCTTACCTTTCGTCCTAGACACTGTCCCTTCCTGGACAGTGATATTTGTTCTGCCAATACACAGTGCCTTGAACCCCATTCTCTATACTCTCACAATTAGTTTCTTTAAAGAAAAGTTGAAGCAGTCACTGGACAGCCATTGAAGGAGGGCAATTTTCAAAACTGACAAAAAAACTTTGGCCACTTCAATCATGCAGACAGGTGATCCCATCACCCATAGCTCTTCATTTAGGCTTGGATTTTTAAAACTTAACTCCTGAGGACAGTACTAACTTTTATTTACCTATCTACAAGTGGTTGTTTCTCAGCGACATAACAGGACCTAACTGTCTTACGGCTGCATTCATCTCTTTGAGATTCACACGTAGACTCTTTTTGGCCATTACCATCTCTGTATTAATCTTCCCGGAAATTAAAGTCACAACTGTTGCATTCACCAGAGGAGATTTGTATTGCAGATTAAAACACAGGCAGACAGTGCACTGGGGCTTAAAAACAGCAATACTTTTCTACTATTCATCCCCCTTCCCCAAAGTCAGTGTATCTGTACTTGCTAGCTATAGGCTTCATATAATATATACATAGATTAAGGGAATGGACTTTTGTCTCATTTGGTCTATACTACCAATTTCAGGATATATCCTTGTGGAGAGGTGCTTCTCCCAGGGTTGGAAGTCCTTGCTGGGAGAAGGCCAGAACATTCTATGCAACGTGTAAATCTATATTAATCTTGTAAGATTTAAGTAATATGTGAGATCTGCAGAGTGGTGAATGTCTCTTTGTGCACATAAAGTCACTACTCAGAACTGCAAGACCTGAGCAGTGTTATTACAATATTTGTAACATACTAAAAGTCAAGAGAAACTTCCTGTGTAAGCAACAGAGCCCAGACTGAAATAAAAATTAAATAATGAAGCTCTCAGAATGACCCTTGAAAGCAGTCAATTCAGTTTTCATTGCATCGAGTTTTATGAAGCATAGGCATCCAGGCAGCATAGGTAAGCACTTGCTTGGGGGAGCATTTATGGGACTGAGGCACTTGCAAGAAAGAACAATTCCCCGTTATTAGTTATGTTTTTATAACCACCTTAGCTATATTTTGACTTTATTGCATATGAGCTGCCTACCTGTTACAAACAGAAGAATCAAGCTCTTAGAAAGAAAGTAAAGCAAAACTTTCAGCAAACTTTTGCCTTTTTTTTTTAAGATTTACTAAAGAAAGCTCCAGAAAATGTTTTAGAAGCTCCAGTTCACAGATCATTCCAAAGTGTTGTCAAACAAAAGGAGTTTGGAGCAATGAGGAAGATCCAAAACGGGAGGAAAACCACCAAGTGTGTGGGCACATCACTGAAAATAAAAAGGAGCCTGAAGAGTTAACATTTCTCAGCTGAGATGACGAGACTGAATATGTGCTTCGGGCCCACCCAGACTGTGAAATACGATGGATATATTTGAACCACCACGAAGGCAGGAAGCCAAGTCCAATAATAAGGTCATTGTGCTGTGGCAATGAGGCCAACTGTGAGGTTTTGATCCAAGTATTCACACAGCACACACTTCAGTGTGGGATTCTGTCTGAAGAAATCTGAATTTCCATTTAGGTATCAGAAGATCCTCTCAGTTAGTGACCCAGTCGACCTACTTTCCAGCACTGACCAACCCACTTGGTGCCTTAATTTGATAGACACTAGCCTGCTTGGCCTGAACCCCTGGAGCCTCCTGGGTTCAGCATGTGCCTGGTGACAGCAGAGTGGGAGTACAGGAGCAGAGGAGCTATAGCAGCTTGCTGGGTCGTACTGGTGGTTTCTCTGCTCGTAGTTGTGGAGGTGAAGTAGGTTCTGGCTGCTGTAGGTGCTATAGGAAGCACCTCTCCTCAGAGCAGCACTTTGGATGGGGAAGCCAGGGAAGGAGTAAAACACCCCCACTCTTACAGAATCATAGAATCATTAAGGTTGGAAAAGACCTCCAAGATCATCAAGTCCAACTGTCAAGCAACACTACCATGCCTACTAAACCATATCCAGAAGTGCCACATCTACATACTTTTTGAACACCTCCAGGGATGGTGACTCAACCCCCTCTCTGGGCAGCCTGTTCTAATGTTTGACCACTCTTTCAGTAAAGAAATTTTCCCTAATATCCAATCAAAACCTCCCCTGGCGCAACTTGAGGCTGTTTCCTCTTGTCCTATTGTCTTGTCCTACTGTTTGTTACTTGGGAGAAGAGACCAACACCCACCTCGCTACAACCTCCTGTCAGGCAGTTGCAGAGAGTGATAAGGTGTTCCCTCAGCCTCGCTCTTCTCCAGGCTAAACAACCCCAGTTCCCTCAGCCACTCCTTGTATGACTTGTGTTCCAGACCCCTCACCAGCTTTGTGGCTCTCCTCTGGACATGTTCCATCACCTCAGTGTCCTTCTTGTGGTGAGGGGCCCAAAACTGAACACAGTATTTGAGGTGTGGCCTCACCAGTGCGGAGTACAGGGGCACAATCACTTTCCCAGTCCTGCTGGCCACACTATTCCTGATACAAACCAGGATGCTGTTGGCCACCTGGGCACACTGCTGGCTCATACTCAGATGGCTGTCGACTAGCACCCCCAGGTCATTTTCTGCTGGGGAACTTTCCAGCCACTCTTCCCCGAGCCTGTAGCGTTGCATGGGTACTGTGGAAGGGGTGGTCGCGTGCTGGGGCAGAAGTCAGTGGGCAGCACCCCAGCACAGCTGCTCTGCCACCTAAAACACACGTTGCCTCTCTAAACAGAGGTGCTGCCAGCTGCCCATCATCCAGATTTCATGTGACTAACCTGGAGAGGAAATTTCCTCCCTTGCACCCCCTCCTGACATACCAACTGCTGCCCCTCTGTAGCAGCCCATGTCCACTGCACTGGCTAAATAATGGGGATGGGGAGGCAAAGTGGTCTTGAATACACCTCCCAGGGCACTTCCCTAGGATAATGTACACACTACTTGTCAAGTTTTCCTCTCGTAAAGTGGTTCTTTCTCTTGAACTTCAGGATAAAATAGAACTTGATCTTTATACAGCTTTGCTCTCCACTGAGATTTGATTTAAAGAGAAAGAAGGATACTTTTCCACATTCATTGGTAATCTGTTCCAACAGATTATTATTTAGAGTATATAATTTATTAAAATAAACAAATTAATTCAAATTTGGGTTTTCTGGGTTTCTGCTTGCAGTAACTGAATTGCCTATGAACATGAAAGAAGAAAGCTTTTTCTGACTAAAATGTCTCAAAAATCTGATTCTCACTGTTAATACTTAAAAGCTACTTGCTTTTTACAACACTACTCATCTTTTTTTCTGTAAGTTGTAAATCTTGATGGCCCTGCCCTCCTCTGATAAGATGTAAAAAATGAAAGACAAATTATTAAAAAGCAAAAAAGGAAGAATTATACACAGAATCAGAGATCACAGAATCACAGAGCCACAGAAAAATTGAGACTGGAAGGCACCTCTGGAGATCATCTAGTCCAACATCCAAGCTCAAAGCTGGATCAGCTACAGCAGGTCTTCCAGGATCATGTCCATCTGGGTTTTGAATATCTTTCAAGGATGCAGACTACAACATCTCTGGGTTACCTCTTCCAGTGTTCCATCACTGTACAGTTAAGAATGGTTTTTCTTACATTTAAGCAGAATTTCCTGTATTTAGATTTGTGCCTATGGCCTCCTGTCCTGTCATCAGGCACCACAGAGAAAAGTTTATGAACAATTTCCATGGTTATTTGCCTAATTTTTAATTATTTTAAAAAAAAAAATATTAGAACAAACAGGCATGCCTAAACAAATATTGCTGATAAAATCATCCACCATGAAGAACTAAAAAGAGAGTTGCCTTTGTACCATGTTAAACATTTTTACTCTGTTGTTGCTGGGATCTGTTTAACAAGCAAATAGGAAAAACCTAACAGTTGGTTTTACAACATAATTTTTTGACAGAATGCAGCGATGAATAAAGTAATTTCCTGCCCCTCGCAGCTAGTATGCGATCAATGACAAATGAAACACGGGAGCAGGACCTGAAGGTGAACAGTGAAAATCCCAAGCTCAGTTCAGTTGTCTGCAATGCAGGGAAGCTTTTTAAGGTTATTATGAGCCTGATGGCAGCAGAGAACATTCCCCTGTACCTTTTATCAGTGAATGACTGATTCACACATGATTCAGCCTTGGAAATCCTAACACTAACTCAGAGCTAAATCTTTTAAATGGTAATTTATTTTTTTTTAATATTATCTCCCTACTCAAAAGAAAAGATAACATGGATCAGACAGCACTGGCTGCAGTATGTCCTAAACTACGTCCAGAGGATGATGTATTTTAAAACAAGGATTTTAAAACTCTGACAGAAACTCATTTCATTCAGCATTTTCAATGTTTAATGTTTTACACTAAGTATGTGCCCTTAGGATAGTTCTAAACCACTGTGCATTATTCATTGTTTGCCCAGGATAAAACCACTTCGTTTTCCTACTCCGAACAAAGGTTGTTCAGGAGGCACGCTGTGATATCAGCAAAGGTCCCCTCAGGACAACACATGAATAATGGAGCAGAAAGTAAAGTTAGTCACCTTCCTGTCTGCATAAATCTATAAAAAGTACTTCAGTATGATAGATGATGGCAAGGGTGAATGTCTCAAAAATCTGATTCTCACTGTTAATACTTAAAAGCTACTTGCTTTTTACAACACTACTCCTCTTTTTTTCTGTAAGTTGTAAATCTTGATGGTCCTGCCCTCCTCTGATAAGATGTAAAAAATGAAAGACAAATTGTTAAAAAGCAAAAAAGGAAGAATTATACACAGAATCAGAGATCACAGAATCACAGAGCCACAGAAAAATTGAGACTGGAAGGCACCTCTGGAGATCATCTAGTCCAACATCCAAGCTCAAAGCTGGATCAGCTACAGCAGGTCTTCCAGGATCATGTCCATCTGGGTTTTGAATATCTTCCAAGGATGCAGACTACAACATCTCTGGGTTACCTCTTCCAGTGTTCCATCACTGTACAGTTAAGAATGGTTTTTCTTACATTTAAGCAGAATTTCCTGTATTTAGATTTGTGCCTATGGCCTCCTGTCCTGTCATCAGGCACCACAGAGAAAAGTTTATGAACAATTTCCATG